GGGACAGTGTTCTTCAAAAAGGAGGCCAGTGTAGTATACGGTGTCTGTCATTTTGATTGAATCATATGTAAGTATTGATGATGTACAACCTTGCTTACTGGGCCTTGGCTCATGAACTTTATTTCTCTTTTCCATCCACAGAATTGTCGTGAACACCTGCCTTCAGAGAATCACTGTCCCCTCATGTTTCCATAACGTGCATATTACAGTGTGTGACTCCGCCTAACAGTCGTTCGGGATTCAAGAGAAAGCCTTACACTGTATCAAGGCGTTCCTATCAGACAGAGCATTCCGAATGAAATTAGGCTCGACCTACTCTTCTCCAGCGCCTGCCTCCATTAGAGTTCCTCAAGGCTCCGTCCAAGAGCACTGCTGTGTCTGGTATACGTCTATGATTTTCCGGATGTTCTTGGAAGTTCAGGTCTACTTTTTACGGATGACTTGAAATCCTGGAGTCCCAATACCAGTGCCCTCCAAGTGCATGTAGACGCTGCCAAGCAGTGGTCGTTGGATTGGCACCTTCCTCTGAATGACGAAAAGTGCGTCCACATTTCATTAAGGAGAGACTCAGTGAGCCACTTTGTCATTCATGCTGCCACGTAGAGACTGGACCTTACCGTGGTATGACGGTTTGCGCACCTCAGCGATCCATTGAGCCATACTGGTAAGTGTCCCCGTGACACACAGAGTCTGTCATATAAAGTTGGTCAGTAGTTGGAGGTCTACCAAACACAGTCCCCTGGCAACACAGGTTGAGGGTTGGAACATGTGGCAACATGTTCCTTAGAGATGGTAACGCATTTGCACTTCCCGCCTAACACCTCTGCCTTGCTGGGCTTTTGGGCCAAAGGCTTTGGTTGAGGACCCTAATCGTCCTCCTACCTAGGTGTGGGCGCCCTGACAGTATTCCCATCCTCGTACAGCCATGACATTCATAACTAATCATACTGTCATGCCACATCGGCCGTCACTTGGTGCTGTCAGCCGGGTCGCCTTACTCGCCGCATACAGCGGGACGGGTTAGTGAAAACAGGATACAGCTGACGCCTCCCTTCCTGCTGTTGTGCACTCGAATGATTGTGCCAGAAACAGAGAACGAGGATTGCCGAATGATTGGCTTTAATCTTCTATCAATTTCAGTACATCAGCTGAAACATTAGGAAACACAATTAGCTCAACGAATAGCAAGCGAAAAAGTTAAACACAACGTCAGTATACAACATTCTTCCCCACCAGAGGGATTATTTTCAGGAGAATCTAAATTAGGCTTCGCGGTTTCGAAGATTATACGGTCGAACACGCTGTTGGTCTGTGATGTACTGTAGGACATTCCCTGGAACTTCACTGGGTTGTTCTGGTGGTGCCGTTTCGCCTCCAGGAGGATCAAGCGAGTGTGATTGAGTCTCG